AAAGTGTTCACTAAATGGTTCCGCAACAAGTTTAGGGTCTTCGTATGCTTGTTTGTCTTTAATGAATATGCTCCCTCTCGATTTGGAACGTTTATTTTGAAGAAGTATGGTGAGCGCAGAGGAGTTATTTTTAAATTCGACTGCACGTTCTTTCTGTGCGACTGCTTTTTGTGTACTTATTGCCTCTGTTCGGATAATTATTTCAGTCATCGTCACTAAAGAGGAAAAGTCAATAAAGTTGTGGAATCGAGTACAATGTCTTTGAAGACGTCTTCGTGTACCGACCGGTATATAAAGATTTTTGGAGACCGTAGGTCTACAGTATTCTAAAGGTGAGATTTTGTTGATGATACTTCTGAGGTTTAGATAAAATATATTGGTTAGTGTGTCGGTATTGTTTTCAGTAAAGAAGGTTCCCCAATCAGTGCTTCTTAGGTGATTGTGGAAGTTATTCCAACCAACCTTGCGATAGTTTCTACGAAGTGTTGCGGTTTTACGTCTACCGGTTGTGGTTTTTATATTAAGGCTGCATATGACAATGTTATGATCACTACGTGGAAACGTTTTTCCAATATACACAGTATTGGGGATGAGGCCACTGGTAAAGAACAAGTCCAAGATATTTTGATGTCTGGTAGGGGTATTGAGATACTGAGTCCATTGTCCGAGCTCTAGAATTCTATAAATGATTCATAACGTTTCGGCGCCTTGACTGGGAACCAGGAAATTTTGGGCATGTTGAAGTCACCACTAATAAGCTTGCCTATGAATGGAAGGGATGATGCTAGTGTGAATACCTCCGACAGTATTGCTATGTCATCTATTGATGCGTTAGGTTGACGGTAAACGCAGCCGAACAGTAAGGTAACGGAATTCGACGGCTTTAATACAATCCACACCGAATCCGTCAGTTTGTTTAGTTCAGGTATATCACATAGTAGTGAGCTTAGGCTAGAGTGAGCGTAAATCAGGCATCCTCCGCCTCGTCCCTTCAATCTATCACTTCTATATAGGAAATCGTTATCAAAAGATATACTTAGGTCGGAAATATTACTGCTAGTCCATGCTTCAGATATCATTATAAGTGATGGTTGATATATGAATACAAACAGGGCTAAATCCGTCTTTTTATTGCAGATCAACCTAGCGTTGATGAGACATATATTAGACAAATGGCCTACTAGGTTAAAATGAGTGAGAGTATCTCGGATAAAGTCATTGTAACCCTCGCGGTTGTGATATGGGTTTAAAATGAGGGATTGGATGTTCTTCAATAGCTCGGTATTTTGATGTATCAAATGAGCTAGTGAAGTTGATTGGGGAGGAAAGGACGGGAGTACTCTCTGATGGAAACTGTACGGAGGAAGCGCGTTTATATTTTGCATATGTTCTTCAATTGTAGGAATGACGCCTTTGCTTTTCCAATCCTCGCCTTCACGTCTGCATCCGATCCTCCTTGTTCATCGATGATGCTTCCCAGGTCTGTGAACGATTCCACAGCTTTTCTATTAAGTGTGATTTGTTTGTTGTTCTCTGTGTTGCATTTGAGGATCTTGCTTTTCCCTGTGTATGTTGAGGTCTACTAATGTAGAGGCTTCTGCTAAACTGGTTGTCTTCATCTGCATTTGCTGGTGTGTATGAGGTAGAAGAGCTAGGTCATCTGTGAAGTTCAAATGTTCTAATTGATTCCGAGCTGTCCATTGTATTCCGTGCTTTCCCTCAACTTTGCCATCGACGACATTCTGGAAACAGCTCTGATGGATGTAAGTAATGGCGGTGTGAATCTGTTGCCTGGAGAAAGACTTCTCGACCTTGAGTATGCGGATGATATTGTCTTACTGTGTGATAGTGCCCAAGCCATGCAATCCGCACTTAATCAGTTGACAATCAGTGTCCGTAGGTATGGTATGTGCTTTGCACCTTCGAAGTGCAAAGTACTTCTACAAGACTGGCAGGATTCTAATCCTGTACTCACCCTGAGTAGTGAGCAGATAGAAGTAGTCGAGAAGTTCGTGTATCTAGGTAGCTGCATAAGTGCTGGTGGTGGCGTGAGCGATAAGATCAATGCACGTATAGTGAAGGCCAGAGCGGCTTGTGCCAATCTGGGCCATGTTTGGCGCCTTCGTGATGTCAGTCTGGCTGTAAAAGGTCGGATTTACAACGCGTCGGTGAGAGCAGTTTTGCTCCATGCTTGTGAAACGTGGCCTCTCGGAGCCGAGGACGTTGGACGACTCTCTGTGTTCGATCATTGTTGTCTCCGAAGGATTGCTTACATCCAGTGGCAACACCACGTTAGTAATGCAGAGGTTCGACATCGTGAGTTCGGTCACAGAAACGATAATGCAATTGGTGTCACCATCTTGAAACACCGACTTCTGTGGCTTGGACATGTTCTACGAATGTCCTCCCAGAGAATTCTACGTCGTGCATTATTTGCCGACTGTGGGACTGGTTGGGAAAAGCGGAGAGGTGGTCAGTATATGACATGGTGTCGTGGTATGAAAGGAAGCTGCAAAGGGCTGGCTTGTGTTGGTCCTTCACGACTATCTTGCCGGGGTCCTAGAGATGTTGTGACACAGTGGCTAGAGACGTTATCAGATATGGCTCAGAATAGAAGCCCGTGGCGATTCTTCTGTAACCTTCTTTTACTTTCTTCATAGAAAGTGTTTGCTTTTCCCTCAACTGTAAGATTTCTTCTGATTGTACCCTTCCGTTTCCTTCATTATTATTGTTATTATACTACCTTACACCAATATGTTCGTTATTGTTTTTTTGGTCTCTTCAATTCCCGTCGTTTTGTTTGGTGCCCTCTTGTACCAATTTGTATGTGTTCAAATAAATAAATAAATGCTTGAACCTTAGTCTGTGTTGTGGTAAGTTCGACAATGATGTTTTCAGTTTGCAGGAGAACTGCTCGACTGCTCATACTGATTATTTGCATACATGATTGTGTCGCTAGACCTTCAATTAGACTGACAAGGTTTTGAGATATTTATTGAATGAGCAACTGATAGAGAAATATAGTGAAATCTCTGTAATGGAAAAAGATACCAAAAAAACACCATTTAATGATAATTACCAGTCGGTTTGTTGACCAATTTCGTTAATAGTTTCCAATTTTATCAATCATATTACGTGATCGTCAAGCCATGACAATGATTTACGATGATTTCCTGAAGCCATTATGTTTAACTAGTTATAGTGTTGATTGAGGAGTAGCCAGTCAAAAATAGGTATTGTTGTTTTATGTGTTTCTAAAATACCAGACGTTTGTAGCGTTAAAGAATCCGAACTGCCTAATTATATTATAAATCACAATTTAAAAACATTCGTTTACATAGTGATAATTTTAGTGGTGAGCTCAGAAGTTTTAATTCTAAATATTTGTTTGGCCAACAACTACCTAATAGTATAGTTATCATGATAGCACCTAAATCCGGTGACTTTATTATCTAAACTAGGTTCGTGTTTTTTGGGCTACTAATATGATAGACCAATTCATAAACCCAAAAACTTATTGCAATAATGACTATGACGGGTTTATTGAAAATGTTACAGGTGATTCAAATGATTTTTAAAATTAAAAGACGTAGATATATAACGCAACGCACGTACGGGTCAGGTTAACACGCAGGTTGTTGAGGTATATGGCAAATTAAAAATAATAAACATGGCCAGAAAAACAATTTTAAAGTTAAGGCTACTTATGAAACTTCCGGCAGGAACATGACGCGTTGTAAACTTTCAATTAGGAGTTCCTGCATTAAACCTAGTGACAAATATATGTAACAAAGCAACTGGAAAATATATACATGTTAAGTACAAAAAACCATCCAGCAAAATAGTTGAACTTACCTGGATTATTTTTGAAGATTGGATTATTCAGTAGACGACGTATGTCACGCCATTCGTAAGGAGTAGTAATCATCCAAAAGCATCCAGAACAAAACACGCAGTGTGGCAATTAATTCCAAGATGCTTGGTGCCGCTGATGTTTTTGTCACTCTCTCGAATCAGAACAATCAAGTGAATCCAGATAATTGTGTGGTTGCTATTAAACGAGCCATCCAAATTGACATTATGATTACAGAAAACTTATAGCTGAAACTCAACGTGTTTTTGTAGTAGTGTCATCCTTGTTGTTTGGCAATGGTACTCGAACAGGAAGGCAGTGGCCGGAAGAAAAGACATTACAGGATAGTGCATAGTTTAAAACAAAATGTGTTATGTGAAGAAACACTAAGAATTAGATCCAGATAACTACTTAGTCCTTGATTGCATTTTTATTCAATGTATATTGAGGTTATTTGCAGGTCATATTTGCTAGAGCTTGATGTTAAAACAAGTTTATTTCATTGAAGCATGTAAATGATATTAAGGCTTGCTAACAAACAATCAAAGCTATTTAGTTAGTATAGATGACCAGTTTTTATTACCGATTGAACTATTAAGTTATAAGGACTAATCAATATAACATTACGATAAAACATGTGTGCATTAATCAGAGGAATAATAGAAAGTGTGTTAACATCAGTAAAAATCGACCGAGAAAGTTAAAGTGAAAATGAGGAATAATAATAATAGACTGAGCTATTTTAGTCGAGCTTACCAATGTAGAACTATGATCTACTATGATATTAGTACTGTTCTAATAATAGACCTAATCCTAAAATTGTAGATTTATCATGATATAACTGACTAATCTATAAGATCTTACGTGGAAGTTACATCATCGTCCACACCAACTCATTTCATTGTAACAATTACCAATAAATGATGGAAAACAAGCTCAGGCTAGAGATAGAATAATATATTTATTATGAATACAAGATATGAGATAACATTCAGCAGAGACCACGCCTGCATGGCCGAGCCATGCCATCTGAACAACTCAGATTAACTCAATTCATCGTTCCCGCCTTTCTCCTCGTCTAGTTTTTCTCCGCATCAAATGTTGTATATTTATTTCGCATATTGTCTCGTGTTAGGGCCCGATGTCACTAAAGTAGAACTGTCTTGACATTTGTATTGAAGATGTTGACTTTAGGTTTGGTTGACATTTGTTTTGAGTTCCGGATGTGCTTCAGTTGCATATATGCTGCTCTTGCTTTGCCGATTCGCGCCTTCACATCTGCATCAGATCCGCCGTGCTCATCAATGATGCTTCCCAGATATGTAAAGGTCTTTACATCCTCCAAAGCTTCTCCGTCAAGTGTAATTTGATTGGTGTGTGTTGTGTTGTATCGGAGAATCGTGTTTTTCCCTTTGTGTATGTTGATATTTACTGCATCTGAGGCTGCTGCTACACTGGTGGTCTTCTCCTGCATTTGTTGTTGCATGTGCGACACACGATCGTCCACTGTATCCCGTGCTTCCCTTCAGATGTTGACGTCTTCGTGATCCAGTCGATTACCAGGAGAAGGAGAAAGGGTGATAGTAAGCAACTTTGCTTGACACCGGTCTTCAATTTGAACGAATCTGTGAGTTTTCCTCTATGCAGGATTTTGCAGTTTGATCCATTATAAGAATTCGTATGACATTGACTATCTCCTCAGTCACTTCGTAGTATCGAAGAAGCTTCTATCGTGTTGTCTTGTCCATGCTATCAAATGCTTTCTCGTAGTCAGTGAGGTTGGTATGGAGTGGTGAATTCCATTCAATTGATTGTTTCACAATGATCCGTAGTGTTTCGATTTGGTCGGTACACGATCGATCCTTACGGAATCCAGCCTGTTGATCTCGAAGTTGGGCGTCTACAGAGTCTTTCATTTTGTTTAACAACACCCTGTTGAAGACCTTTCCTGGTATTGACAATAGTGTGATGCCTCTGTAGTTATCACACTTGCTGAGATCTCCTTTCTTTGATATCTTGATCAGGTATTCTTTTTCCAGTTTGTTGGCACTTGTTCTTCATCCCAAATCTTGCTCAAGAGAATGTTGAGTATCTTCGCAGCTACTGCTGTGTCTGCTTTCAGTGCCCCTTCTGGAATGTTGTTTGGTCCCTCTGTTTTCCCGTTCTTGATTTATCTGACGGCCATGCCGATTTCTTCAATGGTTGGTGGGTCAACATTGATTGGGAGGTCCGTGAGTGCTGCTTCGATGTTGGGTGGGTTCAGTGGGGCTGGTCGATTCAAGAGTTCTTTAAAGTGTTGTTCCCACCTGTTTCGTTGTTCTTCAGTGTTGGTGATTACCTTGCCTTCCTTGCTCTTCACTGGTCGTTCTGGTTTACGATAATATTCAGCGAGCTTCTTTGTTGTGTCATACAGTCGTCTCATGTTTCCTTCTCTTGCAGCCTTTTCCGCCGTCATTGCTAAATCTTCCACATATTTACGTTTGTCGGCTCTGATGCTACTCTTCACCTGCTTGTTTGCTTTTGTGTATTCAGCTTGTGCCTTAGCTTTTTCTGCTCTTGTTCGGCTGATATTGATTACTGCCTTTTTGTTCCTCATTTCTTGAATTTTGACATATGCAACTACTTAATTTTCATTTATGTGATCAACGACCGGAGACTTTGAGTGAAATCCCTTAGAATAATTAACACTATCAAACAAACATTAGCTTCCTCTGAATTTCCATTCCTAGTAATCATTCATACATACGTTTTTATTCTATCTTTTGGGGCCTAACTTTCTCGCCATTATTGCCACTGCATTATTTTGTTTCTCGTATTTTTTCTTATTCATCTCTTCTCGGGCTAATGTGATTGTATCTACAACTAACATTCGTTCTAGATTGTACGTTGATTATGAATAATGATAGCAGTTATGTTACAACGTAATCTTTATCCATAAATCAGTTCACAATTTCCAAATTTTAGCGTCTTATTCGACAATCTCTCGAGTGTCGGGATTTGGTAGATGATGCTAAACGGTTTCATTTACGTCCAGATTTACGCCATGAAATGCGTGATCGGAGATTTCGTCAGCGTGACGGTGGCAATGAGTACTTAGTTGTTATTGGTGGTTTCGGTTCTGATCAGGACCCTTCGGATTCAGTTGAAATGTTTAACCCACGAACCTTAGAATGGAACGAGTTACCCGTAAGTTATCAAGGTGTATCAATTTATATATCTTTTATTTCTTACTGTATTATTTATTTGAACACATAAATATTGGTACAAAGGGGTACCGAATACATATGCGCCACACAATTGACTTGATTTGTGTGGGGGCTATGATGCTGCCCGGGTGACCAAACCGAAGCAGGTGGTTTTCTTAGGGGGCCACACTCAGAGCCTTCGACCTAAAGTTAGTGGAGCGACGTCAGGCGATGCAGTCCCACGGTAGCCTGTGACCAACGATTGGTTCATACGCCTTCTGTCCCTTCAGAATACTGGAACCCATGTGCACCATTGGCTTGGAATTAGAGTTTTCCAACTCCCCTAGGTGAACCCTCCGAGTCCACCAACTCGGGTAAAGCGCCGGACATCGTCCTCTCAATTTCGTAAGCAGCCGGTTCGCCACAAGGAGTCAGTGAGTAGGACTTCCCTGGTAGTGATTGTATATGTGTGGCCATGTGGGAGCATTTCGGGAAGAGTTGGCTCTCCCCACTCCCGACCGTGCCAGGGCGTTCGGGGGCATTTCTTACTGTTTTTTTCAAGTCAGTTCAACTAGGCTTTACGTTTACTTTACTTATTGTTATTATGTTATCAAGTTTTCACATTCTCCGAACCTTTAAATCTTGAAATCCAGTGTTTTATCAGGCACCTAATCTATTTCTCAATATAATTAGTTTCATCATTATCTGTTGATTTTTTTATTTGGATTTTGAATTTGTTATTCAAGTTTTACTAACTTATTAGTAGTCCGCGAACGTTTTTGAGGTATGATAGATCAGAATGTACCGAAGGATATAGTCTTCATTGGCTTCAGGAGGGCTTTTGACAAGGCTCTGCACAAGAGGCTACTTTCTGATGCATCTAACAGGGAAGACGCTTAGTAGAGTGCTTCATTGTACAGTTTGAGGATCAAAGTTATTCATTCTGTATGTACATCATCACGCTTGTCTCCTCCCATAATTGGTTTTGTTACATTCCTACGACATCGAGATATAGAGAGTGAAGGTGATTGATTAAAGCTTCAAAGTGACTTACAAAAATCATATGAACGATCAAGTATTTTGAAGTTGACGACTAATCTCTATAAGTACATTAACATGTTTGCTGGTCACCAAGGTACAAATGCATACACAGTGATTAACAATGAGTCACTTGTTGTCATTGTCAACCAAGACTTGAAACTTTCTGTACATTGCTGTTGAATAGCCGATAAAAAATTTACAAACGCTCCTTTCACTGCACCATCTTTCGCCACATAAATTTTTGGAATGTTTGGCCCAAATGCAATCTTAGTTCCTCCTTAACTCAACCACTGCATCCAAAAACCCAGCTCCTCACTAAAACAGATGGTGATATTAATTCAAAAAAAACTGCACCTAGGCTGATTTTTAGAATTACAAAGATGGTGTGTGACGAAGGGCTAGACAAAACCAACATATTACCCTTGCCAAAATGAAATAATCGGGGTAGTAAAGTTGCTGCAAATATTTAAGGTTTAACAACGCTTTCGTACGTAAGAGTTGTACAAATGAAGGATACTAACCCAGTCGAATTAGGATTCAGGAAAGAATGAGTCTGAAGATATATTTGGATGCTCATTGATGTGTTGAAATATATTTGATCTAAGCTTACTAGTTATTGTAAGAGATCCATGGACCGACATATCTACTCGTGTTTTTGTGTGGGTTGCCTGACCGAGAGTCTTTGGCTAGAATATGTTGATGCGGTCAGAATCATTTTCGAAAACCTACTTTGGGGATTTATTTGCAGTTACAGGTTAATCAACCACAGTTTTTAAATTACCAAATCATAAGTTTGCGTCTGAAATGCCCTTGAAGACGCTACGGGTATCCGGAGTTTGACAACGCTTTAACCAGTAACACCTAATATGAATCGTACTCACCAAGTGAAATCGAAAGACAGAAGCGAGGAGGTTCGAAGATATATTTGATAGGCTATCAATATATCGAGGATCGTCTGATGTAATCTGGCTAGCGATTTCAGTAGATGTTGAGCACGGCGTTCTCACACGTGGTCTGGTGCGGGTGCATGACCGAGCGCCTTCAGGTAGATGAGTCCATTAAAACTAATGTGGTCAGCATGCAATCTCAAGAAATTACAGAGCTACTTATTTTCGGGATGTATTTACCGCTACAGATCACTCCACTCTAGTGAGGTATTGATGATCGTATGATGTGGCAAGCCAGAAGTTTAGACCCAACGAGTTTGTCGTTGGTAAACACTCTTCTGATAGCTTGCTAGGTTTAGCAGCGGCTGGTAGTCTTTCCTTACTATAAGGGACCATGAAGTTCAATATATTAAAAAAAGCAAATTACCGTTTCCCGCAAACTTAATCGTTTTTTTATTGTCTTTTCCAGTCGTCCTGGAAAAGAAAAAAATATGTAAGTGCATGTCGGAATACACCCGTACGCGCGTAAAAACACAAAGAGGGCAAAAAAATGGAAAATAAACTCACGCACACGTAATAGCGTAAAACAGGATCTACACAATATTTTTTGTTTTGTTATTTTTTTATTTCGAAATAAAAATACAAATATATAAGCATATTAAATTTGGGTTTTTTTAATTTTATATAGTACAGGGGAAAATGGAGACGATATAAAATGTCAACTAGTATCTTACGTGCAATGATCGTTCAAATGTTCTGGAAATCTTACTCTTCTTCCAGAAAGCGTTGTTTAAGTTTATTTCGTGATACCGCCGAAGTATCATCGTGTGTGTGAGTTGTCGATTGAGGCATTATAAAAGCGGGAGTCGTGTCGTGCGACTTTACTGAAGGAAAATCGACGTGAACAGGATTTCCTTATAAATACGCTGCTTTGAGGCGATCGATGCCGATGCTATCGTTGGTTACGTTCTTATCAATTATATGGTACCTAGGTTCGCGTTGAAAATCTTTGAAAGGTCCGTCGTATGCTGATTCGAGAGGTCGTCGGTGAGAGTCTCGGCGTACGAAGACGTCAGGTTGAACGAAAACATCAGTTGATTGCGGTCGAGTGGAAACAGGTTTAACTGAACGCACTGCGTTTGTAAGCCTGTTCGTGTAGGAGGTTAGATCCATGTTCATCGAAAAGGATGAAGGATCCACGAATTCTCCTGGAAGTCGAAGGGTCGTACCATAAACGAGCTGAGACGCAGTGTATCCAATGTCAGCTTTCACTGCATTGCGAATACCTAGTAAGACGAGTGAAAAAGCGTCAGTCCACTGAGAAATGTTTGCGGCTGATAGTCGCGGTTTAGCTGTCGTTGAAAGCGTTCTAC